TGCAATTCCGGAAAATGAATTAGGTACATTTGTAAGTACGTGAATAAAGGCAGCGACATGGCCGTTTTTGGCCTGCAAAACGAAAGGAGAGAAAGGGATGCGGGCATACAACTCGATGAAATCGCACAGTATTGGGCTGGAAGATGCGTCAACGGCAACAAATCCGTGCAAGTCCAGGTGTTGTTCACTTGCGGTACACTTAGTGAATGGGCAATGCGTTTACTTTACCGATACAAATGTGCAACAGACCACCGGCAACACACATTAACTGCGTTCTTCCCGTTCAGCCAAACTGACGCGTTTGTCAAAACCCTGCCGTATTAGAAAGTGCCTACATATTACTCAGGGAATGCATGCAGAAAATCTTTTGTACGACGCAAACGAGGGGAGCGAGTGGACGGACACCCCGGCATACTCAAATAACTGCGATAGGCAAACTGCACAGCGTGCATCCCAATCGGGACGAATGGTTCTTACTCTGCACGGTGTTGCCGAATGTGTCCGGTTCAACGTCTTTCCAGTAGTTGAAATCTATCAAGGGCGTTACGCACGCCACTTTCCGCAGTGCATGCCAGGCTCTCAATTTATTGGAAAACTACCGATACCGGGATGTATGTATTAGTGTTGCCTGCAACACGTCCCATCCACATCGAATTCGCTCATTAGTTGAAATCATACTGCCCGCCTGCTCTACTTCATCTCCAACAGATTTAATTAAGAAATATAAATCACACGTGGCTGAGGATATCGTCCGTCGACTACGCAAGAAAAATTCCAAATGTGGATTTCACAGCAGGAATCTACACCGAGGCGTTAATAGTGAGAAAACACTTTCTAATCAACTGGGAATGTCCTCACCAAACCGAACTGCAGCTGCTGCTTCGTTAGATGTGGATTTGCGCCCTGAGCAAAAAAACGCTGGAGGCTCTCGATCGAACACTGCAAGATGTGCGTGGAAACAGCAGACCATTTGAAGACATTACTGCTACTGCTTGCAGGAGACTTCAGGCAAAAACTACCTGTAATTCCTCCATCGACAACAGCAAACGAAATAAATGCGTCTGAAATACTTTTCTCTATGGCGCCAAATCCAGACGGTAAAAGTAACTACAAATATGCGTGTCCAGCTGCAAAACCACCGATCAGCCGAGGTATTTGTTGGGAGCGCCTACACTCCCAAGAACAAGAGCCAGCCAATCACGGGAGGCCACGTGCGTTTTCTCTACTGCGCTGTCATCTTACTCGTGGCGCCTCTCCATTGGCTTTTCCTCTCGGGCCTGATCGATCAGCATATTCGAATTATCGACCGGCTCGTCTCGAATGTTCTTCCCGAAGGGCATTGGGCCGAACGCCGGCGAAGCACCGTAAGGCGTTATAAATACGCGTTACTTCCAGTTCATTTTGACTTGCAATTTCCTAATACACAGTTTCGTGGCCGGTCGCGTTGTCCTTCTCTGCCGCGTTGGTATTGGGGACAAGGGTCGAGTGCGCATACGCTCCACAGGATTTCACGTACCAGGCGGGTCATAACAGTATTCTCATAGTAATTGCTGGCAGCTGGGAATGCAACGGTGCCCACTGATCCCACTACAAGAGGGATTTCCCTACGTCTTAGCCTCGGCAATTTAGGATACTCAAAAGAGGAGTTGGTTGAAAAGGTGTTTCCCACTATTCAGACCACTTTCAACAATCACGGCTGATTGAGCGAGCGAACTATTCTTGCGACCAAAAGCAAACACGTGTACCATCATTACCACGTTATTACGTCTAAGATTCAAAGCGAGGCTGTCACATAAACGTCCGTCGATACTGTTGCAGAAGCAGACGAGGCAGGTTAATTATCCAACAGAGATTTTGAATTAACCTGAGCCACAGCAACGCGTGGCCGGGCCCAGCTAGTAATAATAATAATAATGGCCAGGAGTTGGAGCATGCATTTTTGATAGTGGGCATTGTCAGCTAACCGTACAATCGAATGGTTGTACCCATAGGTACGCACATGGAAATGAAGGAGGTATTGATTGCTGTGGAAACAGAGGATTAGGACACAGCAGGTCCGACTATGACGGGGGGCGGCAGAAGCGGATTGGAAGGCTGTGGCGAGAATTGTTTCAGCGAGGCGAGGCCCAACCTTTGGATGTGTACTGAGGTGCGTGCGTGCACACATGACCTTTGTCCGCCTACAATCCCGATCAGCAAACGACACAACGCCGATTGGTCTCAAGCTGTCTCCACGACGTGGCCATGTCACGTGCATTGCAATTGGCAGGAGGTGGTAGATAAGCTGACAGAAGGCGTCATGAGAGAACGGAGCCCGGTGGTTAAACTTCCCGGCATGGCTGGCGTAGACGGTCTAGGTCTCCGTTCCGTACAGAAGTGCTGTCAAGATGACCGTCTTGTACATCTTGAGTTTGCTGATCATTTGGCGACCGTGGCGATTCCACACGGAAGCTTACAGCCTGGCTTTGGACAGCAGACGGGCAACCTCGTCCTCGATGTTTGTGTTGCGCGAGAGTGTGCTTCCTATATAGACGAAGTTGTCCAAGAGTTGCTGCTGGGAGCCGTTCAGGTTGACTTGGGGTGCGACGTAGACAGCATCGGGTGACGGTTGATGCATAACCACCGTTTTCTCGGTGTTGATGAGCGGGCCTAAGTAGTCGCAGGCGGCTGTGGCGGCGGCGGCGGCGGCGGCGGCGGCGAAGAGATCCATGCCCCTCTGAATGTCCCTTACTGCGGTCGCGTTGAGAGCACAATCGTCAGCGAAGAGAAGTTCATGGACGGTAGTTGTGGATACACGCGACTGGAAGTGCATCCGCCAGTGATTGAGGAGTGGGCCGTCCGTCCTGTAGGCGATGCGGATCCCAGGGCGTTCGTCACGGTAGGCGTCCATCAGCATGGCAAAGAACGTAAGGCTGAGTAGTGTGGGAGCGAGGATGCAGCCCTGCTTCACTCCGTCGGTCACTGCGAATGCATCTGAGAGAGTTTCACTGTCCTTTATTCGCGCCATCATGCCATCGAGGAGCAGCGTAGACTTCCTGCCACCAAGGTCCTCTTCGAAATCAAACGAAGCAGACGTTTTTGCGTTGATAAGGAAATGCGGCATTTGAGGGCCTAAGTTAAGGTCGCATTCGGGGCTTCTGTGGGCGGACAATCTACAATATCACGAAGGTCCGCATCGATATCCATTGGCAGTGTTTCCACAGCACAATGAAATTCCGTATCCTCCCCTGTAAGTCTAGCGCAGGGCGAGACGGCGTTCCACAACGCGCAGCCACAATGCAATATCACCAGTCCGCATGGTCAAGGAAGATCAAATATATGAATGTCGGTTATCGGCTGGCAGGTGGAGTCGTTGGACTTAATTAAACGATGTGGTTGTACTTGAGTTCGGATAATTTGAGTAGATGACTGGCGAATTGACACTGAGAGTGAAGGATAGCACTTGTGCTGGTTGAAAATGTGAGGCAGAGTGCATAGCCAATAAGGTCAGGCTAAAATACTGTGATCAATGAAGAGAAGGACGGGGATGAATCCAAGTGGAAATACTTAGACACGGAACGATACGGAGTCACGAATGTTTTTAATAAGCCGGTCAATTTTTGAATAAATACGCACGGGTGTATAGACGAGCAGAATTAGAAGAAACAAAGTAGCCACGAGAATACAATTTGGTGACAAATTTGTTATTGAAATTCGTGTCCAGGTTTAACGTCAGGCATTTTGTCGCATTAAAACAAAACGTCTTTTCATGTCACTACAAACCGTTGTTAAGTTACTTTGACCGAAAGGTATTACCTGTCTGCATGTACGATTCGTTTCACTAGAAGAAATGCTTGTAGCAGGTGGCTGGAATTTGGAGTCGTTGGACTTGATTAAACGATGCCGTTGTACTTGAGGTCGGCTAATTTGAGCAGATGACTGGGGCATTGACACAGGGTGAAGGATAACACTTGTATTAGTTGAAAATGTGAGGCAGAGTGCATGGCCAATAAGGTCAGGCTAAAATACTGTGATAATAAACCGGCCTATTTTTGGATAAATACGCACGGGTGTATAGACGAGCAGAATTAGAAGAAACAAAGTAGCCACGAGAATACAATTTGGTGACAAGTTTGTTATTGAAATTGACACTGAGAGTGAAGGATAGCACTTGTATTGGTTGAAAATGTGAGGCACAGGAGCAGGTGATGGAGTCTCTGCAGTTGCCAACAGGCGCTGGCCAAGTGATAAATGACGGGACCTTGCAAATCACCCAGAAGGCCTACCCGGCATCTACGCCGTGGTCCGAGTCTATCATGTGCGCAAGGATAGACCTGTTAGCGTTCTTTATTTGACCCTCCTCTAACCATGCGGAAGGTGCTCTCTTATTCCTTTTGACAAAGGTCGCATTGTGCGACCACTATATTCTGCTCCACAGGAGCAGATGATGAAGTAAATACATGTAGAGGTAGTCCGGCCTGGCAGTTTGTCCTTGTCCTCTCCACATGTGATGGGACTGATGGAGCAGAGTACGTGGGCGTCGAATGCTGGGAAGGTGCGTGATATAGCTTGAGTTAGGCGCCATCTTAGAAGTTTGCTTGGTGCATCCCTTGAAACGGCACCCTGATGAAAAGCTTATTCTTTTCTGCCGTCAGCCTCGGGGGCTTTGGTAGTCCTTCGGTCAAGTACTTAGTAATGAATCGATCGAGGTACCCTTGCTGACGAAGGCGATTTTCGACAATCTGATGTTCCACCTCAATGCTATCAGCTGATCAGATCCGCCTTACTCTTTGTGCCAAGCAGCGGACTAAATTGCGCTTCAAGTTTAACGGTACGAACTACCTAAAATTGGTGTATTGTCCGGACCACGTCTTCTTACAATAGACGCTACGTCGAATACTACCATCAGGCCTTCCGCTCAAAAGCACATACAGAAAGGGAGGCGATCTGGACTGTTTTCCTTCAAGCGTGAATCTGATTGATGGGTGTGCCTGATTGATTTCGTCCGGTGGGACTCAAACGTCGTTTTGTTTAGGTGCAATCGCGAATCTATCATGCACATAGCGTTCATAATATCTCAGACCATCGATCTGGCGACGAAGTTCGAAAGGTTTTAACTTGCCCATGAACATATTCGCCAAAAGCGGACGAAGAAGGGGCGGGCCTATAGCTACTTCGTCGATTTGTGTATACAGATTGTAGTCAAATAGAAGCTGTACGTTTAAGGTACATCTCGGTGGCAATTCTTTGAGAGCATTCAACGGAATTCCTATATCATAATGATTGGAGACAATGGAGTCACAGAGGTAGTTGACGATTTCTGTGACCGGTATGTTCGTACAAAGAGAAGAGACGTCTAGCGAAAACATAACCTTTCCGTTTAGGTCGAGATCTTTCATGCCGTTAAAGAATTAAAAGGTATACCGATAGCTATGTGATGCTAGCCGGTACTGTATGGGCTAGCCATTTCGCTATAGCATGGGACGGCGAGTTTCTCATGTCTAGAGCCGGTGTACCATTTATGTGGATCTTGGGCAAGCCATATAACTGAGGTATATGTGTGTCGACGGGTCGGAGACGCTCTAGGTCGTATTCACCTCGATCCACCAGCACATACACCACACAGGAACTCACTCCACACCGCTTGACACACGGACGGGACATGCAGCGTTCATGCATGCGTGATGCATGTTCTTTCACACAACCCGATGCTTTACCAGATCACGTCAGCGAACGCATAGACGGACCGTTTGCAGCTTTGTCCACCATTGCAACCGATCCCACCCCCGGTAATCTGGACATTGTCTTTCCATCGGAGCCCTGTGGGCGTGGGAGGGAGGGAGTGGGGTAGATGTTGCGCAGGTCAGCCTCACAATAAACGGATTCACGCGAACCTCGCCTGTGCTGCCTTCAGTCTGTGCGGCATACGGTGGAGTTCGCCAATGGCTGCAATTTCCTTAACCAGTCCGCAGGTCGCCCGAGACTCTGAAACAACCGCTCGGCAAATATGAGCCAAAAAGTGCCTCCGACGATGATCCACAAACAGAACTATTGTCAATGACTGATGGGACTGGCGGTGGATTGCAGTTCGTTGTGAATATGAGCGTGGCGTTTTAGACAAAACTGTGACATTTCCTTCGCTCCGGATGATCCAGAGGACGATCGGCGTTGCGCCCATGTCCAGTTTTCCATTGGACATGCACTATAAAGGCATTGGACCAGTTAGGATACAAATCCTCGAGGAGCCGCAGGGAAATCCGTGGCTGCAGTTGTTTGACTTTGGCATAAACTGCACTCTTCCATCCAGGTTTCGTGTACACAGCCAATTGCGAGCATAAGCTAACAGTTAGTCATCTCGCAGTCACCATTTCGGGTAACTTGCTTGAAAATCCTCGATGAGGGGGGGGGGGGGGACGATTAATTATCATTGGCATGCAGTGGCATAGCGACTGCATCCTATAAATACTGCAACCTCCAGTGCACGACTCACCCGTTTCTGCTACTGCCTCTGATGTTGGCTTCGAGAGAGAATCCGAAGCGTCGGGCGAATAAGGCTCTTATTCCAACGATCTTTTCTACTTCTTACCAAATGACACAACGCCGATTGGCGTCAAGCTGTCTCCACGACGTGGTCATGTCACGTGCGTTGCAAATGGCAGGAGGTGTCAGGCTGACAGAAGGCGTCTTGAGAGAATAACAGACTGTCGACCAGGAAAACGGACGGCCACGGGCACAAAAGCTCGCCTCAAGCGCTGACTGTCCTACCACACATCATCCCGGCCGCCGCCGCCGCCGCCGCCACCGTCACAGGACAGATTGGTTATCATTTTTTTCTACTCTTCATTCACATGGGAATTTTCTTATATGTACTTCTGTTGGACTATTTCGCGAATTATATACATACATTTCCCCCTATTTTTTATATCTGAAGTACAATAATGAGGTCATCGTTGCATTTAAATTTCCTTAGAAACTAACTGCGAACCTGGAGTACATCTGTATCCTTAAGGTCTATAGGCTCAGACAAATGTTTGCATGTATGAATATTTCGGCCGAAGTCCATCAGCCACGTCGGTATACTACGCTAGCACTCTTCTGATCTTCTGGTCACCACAGTGATTGACTGATATCATGAAATATTGGCGGAAATTATTCGACTAGGAAGAATTACTTGGGTGGGATTGTAACATTGATTATCATTCGGCATAACGCTATTGTACTTTGGACTCTCCGGAATGTCGCCTTTTCAAAGCACTTCTTTTCAGTCTTCAGAAGAAACTACGCTCATTGATAAATGACTACTTATTTAGTATGAATTTTTCACATCAAGTATCGCGGACCTAATATATTATATATAAAACGCACAAAATAAAATTTCTTTTACTCGTTTGGTAGAAAGTCACATCCTCTTTACATTTTATACCCCAAGGAATGTTACCCTTCGGTTTTAACAAAGTTTTGCATTACGAGATTTCAAGACGGTGCGATGTCCATGCATACAGCATGGCACATATCAGTTTCACAGTGCTCCTCATGAAATGTAAAACATAGTCCACATCCATTATAGAATTTCATGAAATCCATACAGTATCTTCTTAAGGGTATAGAGGAGTATGTGATTTTCCTTACACGGAAAGCGTACACCTTGTAGACTGCAATCGCTAAGCGCTAATGCAGTGGCAGATCAGGCTCGAAATGATTCGGGAATTGGGAAACATTTTCAAAACTGAAATAAACACTCGGTTATAAAATGTGAGCGCAATGTGGTTACCGACCAAACGTGTAAATGATACATATTTTTGTGCATTTCTTCTACAAAATATATTTGAATTTATCAGCACAGACGAAAATTAATGTAAAAAATGCATGCTAAATAAGTAGTTGGATTTTACCGAATGTGGTTTCTGCATGAGGTCGAAAAGAAGTGCATTCAAAAGATGACAGCCTGACGAGTCCGAAATACTATAGCGTTATGCCGTATGATAATCAATGTTACAACCCCACCTTAGTTATCCTTCCTAATCGAAAACTCCATTCAGAATTTCGACCAACATTTCATCAGATCGGTCACGCTCTGTATCTGCTTTGCATGCCCCATTTTTATCCACTGTGAATAGAGGCCTATTTGGTGAAAATTTTGGAATGACACTTACAAAATGAGATCTATCGCGCTCGCTATCTCTCCCACAGGCGAAAGAACGAATGATGTTATATAAATGCGACTGACAAGCAGAGAAGGCCTCGATGATGCCGGCTAGATCAGGCATGATCGCAGCCGTACCATGGAGAAGAAGAAGAGGAAGACATGAGGGTCAGACCTACACACATTCTGTCAAGCTTGATGACACGAAAACATATTTTGATGTGGAGGCGGTTCTCAGACCTGAATTAAATCAACATAAAAATATCAGGCTGAGCCCCGACGACGAGAGTGAATTTTTAGGAGATCGCGCTATCTTTCGACACAAGATTGCAATTTTCATCAACCGCGACCGACCTGGTACGCGAACCTACGAGAAGAGACCTGCATTGGAGTAGGACAAAATACGGTGCCCTCTTAATATTGGGCATATCTTCATTGATATTGCATCCACAGTTAAATAGTGTTACAGGTCGATGCGCCCTGTCTTTCGGGACTAATTGCACATGTATCTGCATTTATGCTCTACCAGATAATATAGGGCATTTTGCAATTTTAAAAATCCAACTGCATCTTCTCCTATCGGAATCATTGTAGAGCGTGCATGTTCAATCTCCATGAACTTGGTGGATGCTGAGGACTGCTCGTCTCCTTCCTCCTTCCGACTTGACCTCAGCGGGGCTTGCCGCAAAAATCAAATGTTTGGTACCTACGAGGAGGCCCTTTCCGTCAGCATCCGCTATCTGCGCCAAGCGTCTAGGAGTCAAGAATATCCTGCTCATTCCCTCCCACCCTTGTCTCCGCCATCACTGAATACGACTTCTTGAGAGAAATGCTTGCTCTCCATGGCGGCTTCGTGTTTCGTGTATTTACAAACTGATGTAGATATAGATCTGTATACACCATGAAAGTCGCATGGGGAAATACGATAAGCAAATGACTTAGAAACCGTCGACTACAATACGTAACCAATTTGTACACTCTGAAGATTGGGTGGGGATGCTAGCATACGGAGACCGCTCACTGGCACGCACGTCAGAAAAGTATTGATTTTAAGGCAGGTCTAGAGAGTGAACTGTCTTGCACACACACCTATGTCCTACAAGGTCCTGGGATTCAATAGCCTTCGATGTTTTCATTGATCCTTGATGGCGGACTCGAGTGAGAGTTTGAGACGTCGAAGTAGTATCATGCTAGATCTGGGTCTTTTCTTCTGCAAATATCTTACCTAACTTACGGGTAGTTACACATCTCACGCCTGTAGGTAAGGATAAAACAGACAGTCAATCTGTCGGCCGTATTCTCCAGAATGACGGCCCGCAGTGAAACCTGTCCGGATAATGACAGGCAGTGATGCACTACCTGGACTTCCTGCGAAAATTGCAGCAGAGGTCCCTTTTTCTGAATGATGGAAAGCAGATCAGTGCCGTACATCAGTATGAATGTAATCTTAGAGCACTTTATGTAAAAGGAGGATTTCGCCCTGTCGTCGCTCACGATCATTCATTTCTAGATGCTTGCTTGCGGAGATAATGCTGCATGAGGGTACTGTGTGACGAATACGCGACAAAGCCTTCGTGCTGTGCGCGCATTGGTGTAAACTATGCATGGCAAAGGTGTCTGACGTCTGTTCACAACGTATTTCTCTCCGCCCTCATCTTCCATCCCTTCCTGCCTGCAGGGTTACCGTGATGGACTCTCATTCGTCGGGCTGCGTTTTCCGCATTCTACCCTCACGCCTGCCCGCGACTGGAGTGATCCCGAGGTCCTGCTCTAGGATGCCCGACATGGCCTGAATTTGATACAGCAGTTGGGCCAATTGCCCATCCCCTACGTCGGCTGGTCCGAGGGCAACCAGTCAGCCATCCAGACAGCATCAGACTTGAATTTCGACGGTCAGCCGCATTTTCATTGGCCAGATCCGCTGGTGGCGCATTAGGCCATTTGTCCGGAAATTCGCTCATTATGGGCGCTGACACCAATCACGTGTCCCCTGACCTTGCGATTTAATGATCTCCATCTGTACTCCTTATGCACTGTTTATGTTAATACTGACAAGTACTAAAATAAAAGGCGCAATAAATGCCCCGATAGATGTGCTAATTTTTCCCTAATATTGGGATGCGTTATCTGGTTGATTGGGCACCAGGATATCGTTTGCAAGCAGGACGAAATAAGTACGAGTCCGTTTTGCTCAGAGCTGCGAGCTAGAGCGTCCACATATAGTCGCACAGCAACCCACCTTCAGACCTCTTCTGATTGTCCTTGGGGTGTTGGTTCTTAACTAATGAAATAATACTTTGTCATTTAAATGCAACTGTGTCTTTGGGATTAGGCGTAGGTGTGTGGGGACACCAGCCAATCATAATTAGGTATGGTCTTGGCTATGTGATGAATAAGGATTTTGGATAAGGGAGACCTGTCTAGATCGCAGTTGGTAGCCAGGCCGCGCATTTCAGGTGGCTGAGGGGTTTGTTTACTGGGGCTATTTTGTGGGGCTCCATAATCACATGTGACCCATTTGGCTTCCGTTTTACGGTTGAGGTTAGGATAAGGGCACCGGTTAATAGTTTCCGATTTTAGGATTAGGTTTATTCATTTAGGCTTAGGTTTTCGGGTTGCGTTTAGGGTCTGAGCCTATGACCAGGTTTCAGTATTGCGGTTAGGTTTTTCAGTTACGCGTATGCCTAAGGGCTACAGATGCGTTTACGATTCCGCTTAGGGTTAGGGTCAGAGTTGCCGTTCGGGTTAAAGGTTAACGTTTACTGTTGAGGTTAGGGTTAGGGTTAAGGTTAGGATTAGGGTTCGGTCGCCGTCCGCTTCCCATTCCTGGCTACCAACTGCGATCTAACCAAGGACCTTTGTCACTTAATGGCATAATGAAATAGTTGTAGGAAGAGATACGCACATGGGAATGAATGAGGTATTGGTGGTAACTGTGAGAACTGAACTATGACTAGGTCACCGCTTACCCGAAAGGGGGGTGGGGGATTGGCAGGCGGGAGGTCGGAGGTGGGCGTTGACGCTGTGGCCAATACATCTGCACGGCCCATCCACGTGCGCCACACAGGACCTGTTTGAATTCCGTTTAATGTGAGAAACCGAGAGTTGGAGCTGACCGTGGCAAGCATCACACTCAGTTCTCCAACCCCATCTCGGTGTCACACACACACACACGACCAGTTGAAATCCTGCAGGGACTAGGACAGGAATAGAGCATAATCCACAACTAGTTGGAGGCCAAACCCCATCAACTGCAGGGAGGGAATTTCACATAAAACGAATAACTATATACACATGGAGGTAACAGTGGATGCGTTGCGGAATAAAGTTAGTCAGGACATATGGCGTTGAACTTTGCAGCGGATTTCCCTGTCATGTTGGCAATCATGGCGTCGAAGAGTGGTCTTCGGTGCGATTTCGAATAGATTTTGTCAGTCCACATCAGGATCAAGCCGCCGTAGCAACTAGAACGTGTGCAATAGCTCACAGACTTCTTGTGGATAGTGGAGGCGGTAGACGTTCAAGGCTGTCAGGCGCTATTCTTACGTCAAATATTTGAGTTCAGGGACAAGCTATATAGCACGTCCTTGTACACCTTCAAGATGAGCTATGACCTCCTGATGTAACGACCGCCAAGCCTATGCCACATGCTCCATGTGTGTCCGCACAAATGTTCCCCATACCTCACCGACGATATCCGCATCTAGTTTGTGCAAGGTTCTGCCAACTGTCATCAAAGTTGACGTTGTGTTCACTGCGATGTTACACTCACGTCGTCTTTAATGAATACTTCACACACATAGATACGGCGAAGGCTATCGTATTCGGCATGTTTCAGCCTATCAAACAATATGGGTTGTGAGATGACCAAGTGCATGATGTGAGATGGGGGAGACAGCAGTAGAGGCCAGAACTTATGTGCAGAAATTCGGTAGTGGTCAGGGCGCTATTCGCCCCACCGACAAAGGGGCGGCCACATCTGAGACTGTGCGCACGCAAGTCTGTTCGTTAGGGTGTTTTACCTGAAAATCAACCCAGAGGCATGGGAGTATGTCGCTCAAGATGAACAGGAGTGGCGCATTACCGTAAAGATTGGATTGGCAATGTACAAAAACAAGGAGTGTGGCCTGCAACGCTCAAATGCTACGGATGAATACCGCCAGCAACCAAAACACTGCCATCACTTCCACACCGTCAGCGGACGTTCGGGGCACGGACCGACTTCACAATACACAACCACTACCGTCGCCGCCACCGCCACCGCCACCACTGACAACATAAATGAGGACACTCCTACCTACCTGCAAACTATTACAACCACTCCTCCTCCTCCTCCTACTCCTACTCCTCCCTCTACTCCACCACCAACACCATCACCACTCGATGCTTGACCAGGTCTCGTGAGGGAATGCATAGACGGACAGTTTGCAGCTTTGTCCACCACTGTGCCCGATCCCACCTCCAGTCATCTGGACATTGTCTTTCCATCGGAGTCCGGTGAGCGTGGGAGGGAGGGAGATGATGCGTAGGTCTGCCTCACAATAAACTTATTCCCGCGAAAGTCACCAGTGCTGCGTCCAGTCTGCCCGCAGCCGGTGCAGGTCGTCCCTCGTGGTTCGCCTTGTGATTCCTCCTAGAGGTCCAAGTTCACAGACTAGCACATTGTATCACAATAGCGACGGCCATTTCTACCGAAATGAAGGCATCACACCAGTAAGCGTTTTGATCGCAACTAATTATGCGGTTATTCTTCTTATCAACCTCATCTCTTCACTTATCAGGCGGATCACATCTGTGCAGATCATATATACGCCTTCCACACACTAGCATTTCCCTAACTGCACACCACCTACCAGACTCCACTGGGTGTGAGGGAGATCTCGCTCCGTCGAGAGTAATCCGACGGACACATCAAGGCTGAGGCATGCAGTCTGACCCTAGGTCCTGAGTAGGGGGCGTGTTATGCCGCCAGTTTGCACAACGTCAATAAACAACTGTTTGCCAGTCCTAATAATCAATGCAGAACTGATATTTCCGCGGATCAAAGCCTATCGCAGTAAACCTAAAGGGGGGGGGGGTGAGGGCGGACAGACATACCTTGTCAGCCAGTAGACTGGGAGATGGGGGGCCAGGCAGTTCTCTGGCATTTCTGTCGTGCATAGTTGACGCACACGTGCTCATGGTCTGGTGGGATGGTACTCTATCGGTCACACGGTACCACCGTGCAGCATTATCTCCGTGACTCTTGCCCCCAAAACAGACCACACAATGGATACGCTGCATAATTACGACGGAATTAGATCGTAGTCTGGAAGGCCTTAATGACGATGCTCACTCCAGAACACATGCCAGCATTTGGTGTATGGCAGCACGTCCAGTTCGTAAAAACCCACAACACCAAAATGCTGCAGTAGTCGGCCACAGACAAGCAGTCCTCGGCGTCCACCAATTCGATTGGGCTTAAACATTCACTTTCTACAATGATTCCGATAGGAGAATATGCAGTTAGATTTGTAAGATTGCAAAATGCCAGCACAAATGTTTCTGCGCTATCTGGTACAGCATAGATGCGGATACATGTGAAATTTTTTTTTCAGAGAGACAAACGGCCTCGACCTGTAGCATTGTTTAAATTTGCATGCAATACCGATGCACACATGCCCGATCTTTAGAGGACTCCCTGTTTTTTCATACTCCCATGGCATCCGATTCAATGCACACCCCTCCCCTCCTCCCCTTTGTGGCGCCACATCGTCAGCCTATGACTGCGACAACGGGCACTCCGCTGGCACATGCCCATCCCTCTAGCCTGTGCTGGGCCGCCTCTTGCTCGCCTTCAACGGATCACGTGTGCGCACACAGTCTGTCACCGTCTAACTCGCTTCGAACCTCCCCACTTGTTACCCGACTCCGCCCCTTAACCATCCAATCACATGTCCTGCACTCACCTACACAGTCTTGCAGTCTTGGCAGTCTTGCAAGTCATCACGGCGTTTAACGCATCGTGACAGTCTCCGGCCTGGATCACACATGCACCAGAGGGACACATGGAGAAGGAGCCGGGAGACATTTGCCGCTTACGTGGAGAGATGTGCCAATCACGTGCTAGAGTTGTGTGGTGTCGAGTGTGGTCATGTTTTGAGTAGATGCTGGTGAGGAGAGATGTGGTAGTATGGTATGGACGTCGTGCGCCTGGCGGAACACAATTGAGATGCGGGCGCAAGAAATTTCGTACGTCTGGCGGGTCAAAAATAAATAACGATGATAATAATAATAACGGCCAGGAGATGGGGCATGCATTTTTGACAGTGCGCCATATCAGCTAACCGCACAATGGAATGGTTGTAACCAGAGTTACGCACATGGAAATGAAGGAGGTGTTGATTGCTGTGGAAACAGAAGACTGAGACAGAGAATTGGTCAAGCAGACCTTACTGTGACAGGGGACTGCAGAAACGGATCGGAAGGCAGTGGCGAGAATTGTTTCAGCAAGGCGAGGTGCGACGAGGAAGGTGCGCGAATGCTTGCGTGCGTGCGTCCGTGTGCGTACCTGCGTGCGTGCGTGCGTCCGCGAACAGATGACCTTTGACCGCCTACAATCCCGATCAGCAAATGACACAACGTCGATAGGCCTCAAGCTGTCTCCACGACGTGGCCATGTCACGTGCGTTGCAATTGGCAGGAGATGAGACTTAAGCTGACAGAAGGCGTCATGAGAGAATAACCAGACTGACGACCAGGAGAACGGACTGCCACAGGCACACAAGCTCGCCTCAACCGCTGACTGTCCTACCACACAACATCCCCGTCGCCGCCGCCACCGTCGCAGGACAGGTTAGTTAAACGGTCTTATTACTCAGCGCAGGTATGGGTTTGACGAAGGGCATTAATTAGAATCAACTGGCAGGGCGTCAGCCAGATGCTAGTGATTACCCCAAATCCACAAATCCCACCTTTCGCCTCGACTAATCATTGCCCTAGGCGGCAGCCCTACACACGTCCAGTCAACCGGATGACTCGCAAACCACATGTTCTTTGCGGTGCATCCGGGAGGTCAGTAGAATCGGCATCTCAACTCCTCACTAATTTCCGCCAGCCAAAGTGGAGCTTCGCCAGACGATACTGTTCTTCGACGTGACACTGCTCTTTGCTATTCGGTGCGTCTTGCATGGAAGTATGGCAAATCAAAGGTCTTGGTTTACTCCCTTGAGAGCTCGCGCTATTTTTACTGTTTAGTCGGAAAAGTTTCAGAATCTTAATTGCTTCATTTTCTTTTATTATGCTACCCAGACACTCCTGCACGGTCATGATATCATAATTTATCCCACATCTGGGGTTATTGTTGGTTGATTCACGAAGTCCATGGACGACTATGCGTTGTAATCTGTCCACAGCACCTCCATCCGACGAATTGGTCTGACCGATGATGAGGCTTCCCCAATGTGGGCTCCAACGCTAGTTGCATGAATATTCGTGAGAGTATGTACTTCTACTCCCACTCTGGGTTCATTTTTTTTCGGTCTTGCGTTGGTCGATGCTGCTCCCCTCACATTAGGCTCGGGAGGTGCGCATACCGTCTGGGGACTGTTTTCCTCTTTCGTCGGTCCATCTTTATCATTTTCACGCTCGGCCCTCGGTTTCCTTTCTGGCGAGTCTGACACCCTCGCCTTTGGATTTTTGCGTCCTTTCTTCATAGTCTTTTCTGTCGCCTTTTTCTCATTCTTTACTGATTTTAGAGGTTTCACGTCACCACTGATAACTGGGGTCCGATACTGCTTATGCAGGGTGTCTCGCGCTCTACCCCTGTGCGTCGATGCTGCCAACTTATCCTCTGTCATGAAGGTCTGCTGGATAAAATTCTTCATGTTCCTAACTTCTTCCACTAGTTGATTTAACTTTGAGGCTAGCGTTTGACAACCGCTGCAATGGGTTCCCGCATGCGTCGGTCTTAACCAGTTTGAAAGGCTTTTAGAGCGACCGCCCTGGCGAGCGGCGATAGCGCGCGCGGGGCGGGGGGTCTGCGTCGCAATCTTGTGCCAGTGTGGTCCCGGGTCCGACTCCACAGTGCTCGCTATTTTGTACTACTTCGGAGTTCGACATTCTGTGCTACTTTAGTATACCCAACAAGAAAAAAAGATCGGGTGAGACTTTTGCCTTATATGCGAGACGGAAAGCGTTTGGCGTCGTTCTGGTCGTTGAGAGTCACTGTATAAGGTGAATATCTTCGTCTTAAAGAGGATCGTCGAGCAAATACAGGAAGCAGCTGTTTAATTCTAGGACTTTATCGAGTACGTTCGAAATATGATGCATTCAACGAATAAGATTAGAAGAGTAACTCAGCCTATGCGGGAGTTGTTCCAGATGTTTTGATGGCAGGATAATCCGAGTTTTTTGGCTCACAAACAGCAGAAATGAGGAATGGCTGAAGTCCGCGTCCTGCGAATCAGCCTTTGTCGCCAAAGAATTATTTGGCGATTAGTCGTGACTTCCGAGTAGAGAATTCCGGGAATCAGAGAATAATAATCCACGCGTGAATTATTTTAGACTGGCGTGCTCCCAACACTGAAGTAGAGACGAAGACTTCGTAGCTCGGAAGACTTGACATTTCGAACCTCGTTTCAAACGACGCGCAAGAGGTGTTTTATTTCAACGGTTTCAGTAAGGGCATAACACAGATTCTGTCTAGACGGACTCTGTGTTATGTGTATATATAAAGCTTTATATGCAACCTATCGAAAACACTGAAAATCTCAAGATATTCAGCGATGTGTCAAGGCGGATCTGAAATTCGGCGTTTTCTAGAACAAACATAACGTCCGAATTAGCTTTACGGAAGGAAAGTCCTGGCAACATGTGCTCATTGGAAAATTTAATTCCCATGGCTTCCCCCTTGGCGAATTCAAGCGAAATCCTCTTTGTCTTATTGAACCGCGTCTGAATAAATGCAAAGCGTCACGACTTCTCGGGGAACCCGCCATATCTGACATTACACTAATTCATAAGGGATATTTAAATGTAAATTTCTCTAAAGGACAATTTTCAAACGTAATTCTTCTTGTCCTGTCTAATTTACTCGTTTTTTGTATGGACAGCCATCCCGTACGTCTAACGATTGCAACCATGTTTGACTTTTTCGGAATTTTCTGCTTTTCTAAAAATCAAAATTCCTAAGCAATCTACCATTATCTTTGATTAATATAGACCTAGGATCCATGCATTGGTGTCGGTTTGCGAGTAATAAGCAGTCACACACAAACACGCACACACACACACACACACGACAGTTCCACGTCGATTTCGACGATGTCCACCGCGTGCCCCAGAGCTGCAGCAGCGGTGGGAGCAGGGACGGTGACTTGCGCAGGGGTTTATAGTGCCAGTAGACTTGCGC